AGATGTATTGTTTAAAGCTTTTAACAATAAAATTCTAAAATAATTCATAGTTGTAAGAAGTTGTTCCTTTTGGGAACAGGAATTGAGAACCTAGGTAGGGTCTATTGTTAGCATTTGTAATATGGAATGTAGTTTTCCGTCATTCAACTATGTTTGGGTTCATCCAGCTCCTTGTTACTCTTAGCTCCCTATCGGTTAAAGCTTCTTAGATATAAAGATGGTAGTTTTAAGGTACTTCTTTGTAGGGTTTTGTGGGTTTCTTCTCTCTTTAAAGAGAGATGTGTCTGAATATGCCTCTTTCCAACAGATTGAGTACAGAAGAAGCCTACCTGCCTACTGTAAAATAAATTAAAGGCTTAATAATAACTGATTTTATATATTTTAATTGGCTTGGAGCTCGCAGTGGCAAGTACCTCACAGGCTAAAGGTGCAAATCTAACCTATGTGAAATTAATTAGCACAAATATTTATGGTGATCACTTCTTTAAGAGATATGAACCTTGTAGTGAACTTTTTTAATACATTTATTCAAATGCCATGTAAAGAAAGTGGATGCAGGAATTACATTTCTGTCTTTCACTTAGATGAGTGCTCTGTTGTTCAAGTGATGTGAGGAAGTTAAAATCCTTCAATCAGCTTGATCCTGATCTCATGCTAATCCTCCCCCCAACTCTTTCCTGGTTTTCCTTCCATCAATTCCTTTATCCTCCTCCCCAGTAGGACACATTCACTTCTCTTTTTTTTTCTTGCCTTTCTTCAGTCACTCAATAATTTATCTTACTACTAGCAACATATTTGTTCTTCATGCAGGGAGCTAATAATCCAGGAAACCCAAACTATCTTTTTTTCATGTGGTTATATAGGTGAATATGGGTGTAATATATTTATAGAGTACCAATTTCAGAAGGCTGCATAAGACTGAATTTAGTTTTTTCCTAAGTCCTTAAAATCATTAGGGAAATCTGCATGAAAGGATAAAAAAAAAGGATTGGAAATACTGAATACTGAGTCTTAAGCACTCAGGATCTTAATTCATTGTTTCAGCATGTTATGACTAAAAAATAAATTTTACCAATTCCATTGCTGTCCTTTGGGAGTTCTTACGGATCACACTTCAAGCTATTTTTCTGTAGCCATTAATGATGGGCATTTCAACTTGTGTAAAAGAGGTTCCCTGTGCAGGACTTTTATCTGGTATCTTTTCTTCCTATGTCATCCATCATAGTATTCCATTCATTAAATAATTCCACAGTATTGTATTCATTAAATATGTATACTTCTTAGTAGCTTGGTTTTTGCATTGGTAAGAAGAAATGGTAGTAATTTTAGGTTTTTTAATGCTTATAAGAATCTTAAGGTAATTGTGTCTGGTTTTAGTACTAAAATAGTCTTTAAAATAAAAGGTAGCTTTGGAATTGAATTATAAATCATTGTTTTTGTGAGGGCATGGTTTAGGCAGCTGATTATTTATCAGTAGTAGCGTGTAGAAAAATACCCTTTAACTTTCTTTGATTGTTACAGTAGTATACTTGTGAAAATTTATAATTTTTTTTTAATTAGGGATTTTTTTTCTTACAAATTGGTTCTTATAAAAGTATCAACATTTTGTTATAGATATCTTGTTACACTCTTGATTAAAGCTTTAGCCTCTAGTATGTTTTCGGTACTACACTTGAACATCCTTCCCATCGCTGAAACATCCTTAATGGTTAATGTTTTTCATTTCCAGCAATGTAAACACTTTGCCTATGGATTTGCAGAGGAAGTCAGAAAACTGAACTTCGGTGCTGTAACACCTGGTTATGATTTTATGAAAACACTTAGGTACCTATCTTAATGCTTCTATAAGATCACTTTTGTGTTGGGCTCTCCAAATGCAAATGAAGAGTGTGCATATTTCTTCTATACTGTGGCGTGCTCACCACTCTTTCTTTCAGCACTAATGTATTTGCAACATTTTTATATAATGATGATGAGTAATGTTGAGCATTTTCTTTCCTCTAGGGAGGGCATAGAGTCTATTCTTCCTGCTAATGTTCATGAGATAGCTGAGAACCGGCTCTATGTCTCAGTCACTAACTCAAAAAGTGGGGAAAATCGCTTGGTTTCAAATTTTTCCTCCAGGGAGGACCTCATTAAGGTAATGAAGTGCTGCATTAAATAAAAATGCTTGAGTTTCTTCAAGACTTAAGAGTATGTTATGAGCTGTACAATGAATCACTGTTTTACTCAAATAACCACTTATACTATCAGTGGTGCTACAACCGTAACATAAACAATGGAAGCAGAATTTGATCCTACAGTTTCACAAATTTTGCTAAAATTCATTTTGTGCTTGTGTGTTTCCTTAATCTGTTATTATTAAGGTATATTCTACCTTGTAGGCAAAATATTTTTAAAAAATAATAGGGTAACTCATGGTTGCAGTATATGAGAATAAAATAATCTCGAAATTTTATAATAATTTTTGCATCTCTTACTTCACTGACACTGTTTATGTTAAGTTTCATCACAAAAGAAAGTAAAAGAAGTTTTAAAAAAACCTCAACACTTCTATAGGTCTTTGTGGGGAATAGATATCATGTAATGCTAAGTCCTGTATGTAGTCTGTATTTTATCTGGTACTGGAAAGTATATCTTTTGCTGCCCTTCTCTTAATTTGAATGTCACTTTTTAAATTTGGATCAGGATTGTATACATAAGGTGATATGAAATTGTAGGAGAAAGTCAGATGTATGTAAAGCATGTTCTTTCTAGTAATTGATTGTATCTTAGTGGAGATTTTCATAAGATATAGCAGAATAAAAGAGGAAAAAGAATAAGGAGGAATTCCTTTCACTATCCTTGTGGATGCTTAGAACAAATAAGAGTTTCTTTACAGTTATCACTTTAAAAAAATCACACTTGTTTACAGAATCTCAAACTGTACATCAGGAGTTTGCCTTTAAAGTATTTTAAAAAATCTTGATCCTATTATGTTAGTTCTCATAATTTTTAAGACTTCCTCATGCAAAGATAATTATGCAAAAAAGTTTATCTCAAATTATGAACTGTAATTACTAGCTATAGAAATAACTAGGAGTGACGAGCATGGAGATTATTATTCTGTAGGTATATGGGTTTTTGCAGTGAAAACTTCTAACCTGAAGAGAATTAGAAGCATTAGTATGACCTTGGAAGTTTGAACATATTAATATTTCAATAGTTCTCTCGTTGATTTAGCCATTTCTATTCTATTCTTTTGTTCTCTATGGTAGCAGTAAAATGGATTGGAATAATAGCAATAAAATTACAAATAATTGCTCACTGGAATACATTCATATTGTCTGATTTTTCAATGCAGCTCATAATACATGTTTTTGTCCATACCTTCATCTCTGTGTGTGTCATGTGTACAGCTGTCTGAGTGTTGGTGGCTGCTGCAGTAGCTTGGAGGGTAGAATTTGTTTGGTTATTTGATTATATTAGGCCTAGACATGACCTGCTACATCCAAGGCTGGATAAAAATATTGCTGAGCAAACTGTTTTACAAACAGCAAAATTTCTGTACCCTCTGTCAGAAATCTTCCATATGCATTTGGTTTCAATGCTTAACAAGCCTCATGGTTTCCAAAATTTTTCATAATGGCTGAACTGAATATATATTGCTACAGTTTTAAGCTTTTATCTTTTTTACTATTCCCAGTGGACATGGAAAGTCAGTTAATAATCTCCCACATTTGAAATAGTCTTTACATATGTGAAGACAGTGATCTTGTATCAGCATTCCTAGACTTGCTGTTTTAAACTGAAGGTGACAGGGAAGAGAGGCATGATTTGTGTGTTTGTGAGGGAGCAGGGCACTGAAGACTGTTGTATTTAGTTTGGAAAGGGGGGAGCAGTGTATTGAGGCCCACAGTGGTCTGTTAATGGTAGAGAAATACTGAAAGTGTTCTTCAAATTTGTCCTTCCTCTCCTCACTCTTGAGATCTAAGTGACTTTAGAAGGAAAAACAGCTGCTTTCTTCAGTCCTTTTGAAAAGAATTCAAGTTTTGCAGAGGTCACCTGGTTTTGACTGTTCTTTCACTAAACCTTTTTCCCTTTAGAAGGGCCAAAGTTACTGAGGTGGAGTTGAAGTAGAGAGGAGAAAGGGAGTTGGGCAGGGGAAGATGCTGATGTTGGGAACTTGGGAGTCCTATGTTATGCTATTGTGAGGGAAAGGAAAGAGAAATAGCTGCAGTTTTCATAAGGAAAGTGAGAAGGCCTTTTTATCTGAGCTCAGACAAAGCTCTGGTCGTCTACATCACTAGAAAGAGAAGTAGGCAAGAGAAGAGTTCTCAAAGTGAAAGTTGAAGATTTCATATACATGTACAGTCTTAATTAAAATTTTAGGGGAGCAGAGGTGCTTAATACTGAACATAGCTAAATTTTTTTGTAAAAGTAAGTGTAATTGCACCCAAAAAAGTTCAGGCATTTTATTCCATAATCTCCATGGGTTGTGAGGTTTTCTGATCTTTCACATAGTATATACACCAGTTTGGGACCTGCTTCTGTTCCCCAAATTGGTTTTTTATGCCGCCACATAAGCACGTGGATTCACCCTGTTTAGCCCTATGAAAAATTCTGACATATTGCACTTTGTCCATGCATTTATATGACTTTCTCTTTGAAATGCTGTATACTGGTTGCTTATATATATGGGAGTGGATACATAGATATAGAGAAACACACCTTCTCTCACAGGTATTGCTATGAATGGATAGAAAGGTATGTGTGTTTGCAAATATGTACATGACAGAACAGTGTCCTAATATAAAAAAACCCCAACAAGCTGAGAGCTGCTGTGGATAGCAATGAAGGCTTACAGTAGGGGAAATAGTAATTTGTTAAGTATTGAATGTATTAAATGCAAAGTACTGATCCTGGTAAAGATATACATGTGTGAATTTTTGGGATGTTTATAATATTTTTGAAAGTTTGAAAATCTGATTTATTAGAAGAGTGGACACTATATTAATATGCCAATAGAATGACTGGGTCAGTTTCTTCTTTGACAATATATTGCTTTTTTTCCAGCATATGCATATTTAGTTTCTGCAAAACTATAGACATACTTTACATTGTGCAAAACTAAGCTCATACTCTTTTGAATCACATAAGTCAATGAGTTAATTTTTTATATTTTGTTTTGAGAGCTGTCACTGTCAAGTCATAAAAAAAGGCCAACCATACTGAATAATTTTAATCACATTTTGACATACCACAACAAGAAGACATTTTGAGATGACAATGGGTTTATGTATAACTAATATATTGAGTGGTTACTGCTGTATTATTTAATATATAAATAGGTATGAAGATATGTATTCATTTAAAATTACTTTGACGCCTTTCTTTCATTTTTTTTTCTCTATTCTTTCTGCTTTCTTCTCTCTAGGTCCTGCTAGCAAGTAGCTTTATACCACTATATGCAGGAATTAAACCAGTGGAATATAAAGGAGAGGTAATTTTTCATTAACTATCAACTTTCTTTTTATACGTTCTTTATTTATGATGTAACTATTTGATAATAAGGGAAAGCAACTGCACTGCTGTATTTTGTAAGATAGTTATTCTTTCTGTTGTTGTTGCAGATTAACACCAGGAAAGTTAATATGAGTTTACTCCTGTGTTGTTTCAGAAATTGTAGGTGCTGAGACTGAAATGATCTCTGTAACGTGAAACTGTTTCTAAAGATAATGTCTGACACTTACCGTGAGAAGAAGCTTGTTTTGCTAAAGATTCTTCTCGCCACAAACTGTGTTACCAGATTTAAAATGGTTTATTTTGCAGTGTAGAGGACCACCAATGTTTTTCCTGTTTGATGGAAGTAATGATAGGGGAGGTTCTTGCCAAGCTGGATGCTGCTGGAGTACATGTGTTTTCATGCATGTTGTTCTCATGTTCTGTATAGAATTACATGCTTACCAGGTACCTTCAAATCCCTTATGTTTGGAAAAGCATTTAAAGAATAAACTTTTCAGGAGTGTACACTATTATAAGAAAACCTTTTCACAGTTTTCTTAATTTGGCTCCAAGAACGTTTTTGTCTATCTTACATAAATATATTAACACTCTAAGAATAATTTTAGAAGCATGAAAATAGCTATTTCTTTCTGAGAAAAACTACAGTTCTTCCTTTATTTCCTTGTATTCATACAAATGATTCTTCTGAAATCTCTGTAATCCTCACACCCACCCTGCCAAAAAGCTGCACAAAACCACATATATTTGCCCCTAGCTAATAGTTGTTGTGTCAGAAAGCTTTTCAGCTTGAGAATTATATATATGACAATACATATCAACTGAAATATTTGAAGGGTTTAGATCAGTATTGTTTGACTGCTTGAGTTAAATGGAGACTGCTTACAGCTTCCTAGGGTCTGGAATTTTTTGTCAGTTGGAGTCTCTATGTTGCTTGTGCCATTTCAGAGGGGATCTTTGGATTTTTAGGTTCATTCTGCCATTAGTTAAAGGGAAAAAATGTAATTGTTAATTTTTTTTGTGGTATCCTTTCAATTAAGAAATTGAAAAGTTGGCCCAGAGTTTTGTCCAAAACTTATTTAAACCCCATTGTATTGGATGAACAGTTCTATTATGATTGAATAGGTATTGTAATACTTACTGAAGCCTTTTTAGACCTTTTTTTTAGCCTTGTAGTATTTACTGCAACCTTTTTTTCTAGGAGACAGTTCTCATTGCTGCCTGTGTTTATTTTTTGCATTCAAAAGTTAAATCAATGAAAGTTTCACAGAAACTGATTCTTCTCTTAGTTGAAAGGTTCTTTTCATTCCCAAAGCTTCTTACTGCTCTCCTTTAGTGAGATGCAGAAAAGACAGTTTCTGGGAATGAGGTTGCTTTCATTTATTGTTATTTTTTGGAATGATTAGTTCTGCATGTCTGCACTGTTTTTTCTCATATTCTGTGAAACAGTGCATTTGTGGATTGGAATTTTTTTTTTTTTTTTTGAGAAAACTCTTGCCTGTAGATGCCTGTGACTTCCATTCTTTAGTCCCAAGTGCTTAGAGCGGGATAAGAGCAAAACCTTGGGATCTCTCTTGCAGTAGTATTTCCTTGGTTTGGATTGAGGATATGTGCGTGTATAGTAGGGCCCAGAAGCACAAATGGTGGAACCAGATACGTGGCATGTAACATCATGTTCCAGGCATGGTAAGCACTAAGTCAATAAGATAGATTGAATATTGATTTGGCTCTCCACAGTCACCTATCATATAGAATCATATCTCAAGCTTCCTGAAAGCTTTACTGTAACAAACCAGAGTTCTACCTCTCTCCATTTACGCTGGTTTCGGGAGGTAAATTCCTTAGGCCATAGGTCCCTGGTAGCATGGAATTCAGATTACTGCCTGCTAGGTGCCTGAGTCTACAGGCCTTATCTGTGCTTTAGAACAGTTGATCTGGATCTTCTCTGAGCTACATATATCACCTGCACACATAGCACCACATCATCTGGGAGTGTTTTTGAAATGTATTTCACTATATTACCTCTGCTATGTTACTGCTACCATTATGCATTGTAAGTAAGTAAGCAGGTATGATGCACTTTTGCTGAAATAGTATCAGAAAATAACCAAACCTTTTGCTAGCCTGCCCATACTGCCTACAGAGACTGAACCCTAGGATTCAGTTTATGATTCATGGCGCTTTAGTTTTCTTTTAAGGAAGAATACTTTCTGGGGAGCGTTTGGCTTCACTTTGGGTTTAGCTAGTTTACCTGCTAGTGTGCATGCCTGCAGGCTACGCTCTTGAGATGGATAAGCTAAATTTCATGTTATGGTGAACATAACATTAATCTCCTCATATTATGTTTTCTTCTGATTTGATGAACCAAAAAATATTCTGACAAAGAAAGAAGTGTAAGATAACATCTGAGAATTTATTGTCTTTTTGTGGCCTTAACAACTTATTACCTGGGTTGGGTTTTTCAGGTACCCTTGGACTAGGCTTCCAGTAACACCAGTGCAAACCTGCTCCGTGTGAAATTATCTTTCTTTGACTTAGTTTGGTGTCCTTTAATGTGACAAGGTTAATTTTTAAGACAGATAAAGATGAGCAGATGGTTGAGTTGACTGTATTTGATGATGAGTCTGTAGTTTGTGTGATTGTAGTTATTATGGAACAGCTTTGTAAAAACCAAACTGATAAACGGGTAGATTCTGTTAGGTCAAGCCCACATCCTCATTCTCGTTGGCTGGTTTGGTTTTCATCGCATGTTATTTCAAAACTTTCTCTGTCGTTACACTGTACTAGATATTAGTGATGCTAATTCAGAAGTTACCAGGAATTTGTCTCATCAGCTAAGAAGCATCTTTCAAGAATTGATTAATGAAATTAAAAGAAGCTGGGACATCACTTTTCTTTGTCTGCGGCAGATGTTTTATAACGATGAAACACAAGGGACTGTGGAGATAAAGTATTTTTGACTGAAAAGCAGTTTCTCCGAAATGCCTGAAAGAAAATAAAACAACAGAATCTATAGAAATTAGTGCTAAATAAAAATTACTGAGATGCGCTGGTAAATGTTTTGGTTTTCAAATAAATATTGAAGTTACATAAGAGGAGAGGGGAGAAAAATAAATGATCAAAATTTTTAAAAGTGTGAGAACTTTTAAGTTGTAGCAGTGCTAAGCTAGACTTGTGAAAAACATTAATAATGTCATCTGTTACGTTTTCTTTGACATGGCTTAGACAGGGCATCCACTGTACTTTTCACAGTAGGAAATACAACAAAAAGCCACTTGCTACTACAAGGAACATGGCATATGAATCAATAATAAACTACTATTTATAGATACTCACAAAAAAGCTGTGGTGTTAGAAATGTTATGGTATATTGCAGCTCTACTCACAGCTATCACAACAGTGCTGTAACAGAAGTTTGAGAAATCTGGAATTTTATTCTTTTTTTGCCTTATTTTCTAAGACAAAACAATCTCAATCCTAAGCATTGAGAAATATGATGTTTGTGCAAAGTGAAGGAATTCAGTGGTGGATTGTGGGTGCTGACATGAGCTAATGTCAAGAGTCAAGTGCTAAAGCATACAATGAAGTAACAGGATGAAAAGGGCCATAGAAACTGTTGAACGTTAATATTTATAGCTTATATTTTGAAATCAGGAACATAAACTTCATTTGAGATGGTGGTGTGGGGAGACTGTGCAAACATTTAAATGTCATAAAAAACTTCCTAATCATATACTTTTTGTGAGAGCTTTTTGTTGATTTGGGTTTTTTTTTAACTTTTGTGACTGTTTTCTCTCCCTCGGATGATAAAAGAAGTGTAGAATTACTAGTTGAATTTAGATGTGTAAAGTTCAGTGAGATGCTTTTGGTCATCAGACCTCATGTATGATGTTAGTGAATGCATCTAGCCAGCAGAGGGCTGTTGGGTTTTGGGTTATGCATGTAAGCATAGAAAGAAATATGAAGATATAAAATATATTAGCCAGAAATATCACAGCTGTCCTGCTTATGCTGGAATGGAATTTGGCCATGGTCCTTCTAAAGATCAGATTTGTGCCCCTAGATCTCATTCTTCACTATACTTAACTCCTGTCTACTCCCTTCCTGCCTTTACCCTCCACTTTACAGCTGCTGCTGTCTTGTGTAGTGAATGTAAGACATGAGGCTCTGGAAGAAGAATCACAGAAGAGGGTAGGAGTGATGTGTGATTTTGCTTGTGCAGTCAGTTTACCTGCACCTACAGATTGTGCAGCTCCTCATTTCAATCAGAATAATGTTCTAGAGGAATATACAGCATTTAATGTGATTCATGTGTAATACTAAGTCTTATATTTTCATGTGTGTGTTGAGGAAAAATTCTGTAGGGGGCATTTTATTTTTAGATTAATCAACGAGCCTTATCAGAACTTGATAAATACATTACACACAAATATGCACATTATGTCAAATGGTCATTGATTCATAACTCTGCGTGTACATTGTCAGTTCTTTGATATTTATGCCACATATTTGATATTATCCATTGTATTCTTAGAAGGAAACCTGTACATTTTCTTAAGAGTGGACTGGAAGAGGCAAGGTCGAGAAAGAAAAAGTATTCCATTATGATCATGCTGTACTAGAGTAACTTGGAAAATACTTCTGTTTCCCAATAGAAGTGGGTTGATGGTGGCCTTACCAATGGCCTTCCTATCTTGCCTTTTGGAAGAACTGTGACGATTTCTCCTTTCAGCGGTCGATTGGATATCTGTCCACAAGATAAAGGACGTGTGGATCTTTATGTTAAATTAGCAAAACAAGATATGATGGTGAGTTACTTGTTTATTAATTACCTTAAAAAGGAGAAAAGGTACTTCTGCAGTTAAGTTTATGTTTATATTTAAGTGTCTATTTTGTGTTATATATCAACTTATGTAAAGTTTTGGCATTTTCTGGTTTGGCATTTTCTGGAGGTTAAACCTTTTCTTAGACACAAGGGAAGGAAAATGTAGAATAAAGAAGGAAGTTTGAAAATCATTGATCTAGTACAAAATTGAGCACATTATAACAGGCTGTTAAGTGTAAATAATATTAGACTTGCTTTACATATCATCAGTCTATGGCTAGGTACAGTGTTTATAGGAAAAAAAACAAATTGAATACCTCAGTAAAGGAGAACTCCAGAACATTTCTTCATACTTATTGAACTCTATTGCTCCAACTGAATTTAAAATACAAGTTTAAGTTCTACATTTGAAGTGGTATGCAGTGACTTGTCACATCATTGCTCAAGAGAGCTTGTGAACACCTGTGACCACAACACTTTTGCAGAAGTCTTGTTAGAAGTTTCAGAAACATTTCCGTATGTTGAGATATAAGATAAGACTATTTTTTATTGCCTCCTTTTCATTGTTGACATTTCTATCTTTGCAGCCTTTGTCTCATACACTTTAACTAGTCTTGCTTCTTTTGACATGATGAAAGAAAATATTGAATAATGATAGACCTAGTGGTCAACAATATTCCATTAGAAAGAAACAATAAAGATTAACAATAATTGGTACTTAAGGTTTCTTTTTAGACAGTTTTTAATGTTTTCTTAATTTTAGTAAAATTAGTCTTATGTAATGTCATTCTAAATTGGACCAGTTTCTGAACCTTTATAATGTTTCGCAGAGAGATTTTAAGCATGGTAATGCTTGGCAAAAGGTCATAAAGTATATATCAGAAATATACAGAATCACTTACTGTGTATTTCTTAGTCATATTTTGTATCTAATATCTAGCGTATCTAGAGAAGGAAAAATTAGTTGGTGATTAGTTTAGTTTAGAGTAGAAAATTAATTGCTTCTGGGGTCATGCATGTGCAGACTTGTGCAGAATCTCAGGAAACATTTTAAACTATTTGATTTGAAGCATCTCTAGCTCTTAAAACTGTAAGAATGATCACGAAGAATAATTTTTTCAGCAATATTGTAATCTGCATAAATTGAAGAATTGTATATCTTCATTTATCTGTATTGGAATGTTAACAGTTTTTTGTCTCTTTGAATCTCCTCCATCTTCTAGAATGAATTTGAATAATTGCTTACTTTAAATAATGAAGATGATGTTGATATTGTTTAGCAAAATTGTGTATAATAAAGTATGTGGCTAAAATATTAAGTTAATTTTATAAACAAATTGTTCAGAACATTATTGAATTTAATTATATTTTTTATTTGGTCATAATTTAATAAAGTCTGTTTTCAAGAATAAAGCTCCAAAATGTTTATACATGACGGAGTGACCACTTAAAAAGCTGAGTAGTCCTTAATTGTTGGTAATACAAGCTACGTTTATACTCATATGTAAACATTGCCTGGGAATGTTCCCAAGGATGTGGTTGTTTGCACTAGTAAGCTGTCAAAATATTTCCTTGCACAACTTTAGCATGTGCCAGCTACCATTCTGCCAGACAGTTTTGGGATTGTTTCCAGACTTAGAGTGTTTCAAAAACTTTGGGCAGTTTTACAGGCAGACAGTCTGGTTTGGATGCTGTGAGTTTAATAGTGTGTATGTGGTGTTTGTGCCAGTTTGTCTTGGCGCTCAGCAGTGAACCTGGACGTGGTTAATTTCCTGGTGTAGACACAGCCATGCTGCTCTTTTGGTTTTGCATATGCTACATGAAACATGTGACAGAACAGCCACATCTAGATAAGTTGCTGTAACAAACTAATTTGTAGCTTCTTACTCTATTGCAGCTGTCACTGGCCAACCTGGTAAGACTTAATCAAGCTTTGTTCCCACCAGACCAGGAGAAAATGGAATCATTGTACCAAAATGGCTTTGACGATGCTGTACGCTTTTTATTGAAAGAAAACTGGTTTGAATAGATGGCACATAAAAAAGTAGCGAGACATGATGGCTGTCAAAACACAGCTACAGGCTTCATGGAGAATCTCAGGGATTGCTGCCCCAGTTGCTGTTTGTGAAAATAAAAATCCTCATGGACTTGATTCTGCTTCTGCTGAGAAGGTATCAGTTGCACTCCAAAGAACTGTATAAACGTGTCAGAATGGAAATAGTGCTTGCCTGGTTGATGTCTTGTTTTGAGGAGGTTCCACTTAGATTCATTTTGCTTCAGCTGAGGATTTGTGTGGGGGATTTGTAAAATTATCCTAATAACAGAAATTTGGAAAAGTCTTTTTCAATGTTATTTCAGAGACAAATTGATGTCATATCATGAAAATTACAGTCTGTATTATTTACTTAACATACCTGTGAGTAGTAATTGGATGCTCTCAATGTTACTGATCTAAAGCATTTCCTGCAGTGTTCTAAAGGACTTGAAGATTAAGCACTAGCCACAAAAATAAAACATTTGCACTCTTATTTTGTGTATTTTTTCACATTAAAAGTTCTTAATTTTTCAGTGAATGTGTTCTTTTAAAATTTGAAACACTGAAATTTGTAACAGAAGTGTGATATAAAAATAACTTGTAAAGAAGGGTGTAAGAAGTTGTCATATTTATTACGTTTTCTCCCTCTGCCAAAAAAATTAATAAATATATTTTCTTGAATCTTTTGTCAAGAGTTCATTTATAAGTTTCTTGGAATGCTATACCTTAAGTTCAGGATTTTCACTCTTAATGTGTAAATGCTAAAATTCACAACTATTTATTTAAAAGCAAAGACTATTTGGTTTATAAGTATGGATTTTAAGTTGGTTTAGTAATATGTAAAAAATTTTAAAAAAATGAAGGTTGAATTAAACATGTATGAAATTTTGGAATTCCTAGGAACAACTGAAAAACCTATAGCTAAGGAAAAAAAAAAAACTATAGCTGTTTGAAAGCCTCTTCAGCATGTAACCACCAGATTTATATTCATATGCAGATTGCATCAAATTAGGATTCATGAGCAGGGATTGAATTATTTTATTACTGTTTTTGATAATGAAAGAAATTTAAAAAAGGAAAAGGCTGATGTAAGGCCCCTTACTTTCATTTTAGGATGCGTGAGATACTGTATACAGTGAAAACAGGATAACTTGTGTGATTTTCAGATCTGTAGGACAGCATTTTTGCATGTAAAGCTGCAATAAGTTACCTTCCGTCTACCAAGGCACCTGTGCCTCGCTCACTTGCATTCTCATTTATAGAGAGGATAACTTTCAGCATGAATAGGAATAGTAGATAATGCTACTAAAAATTTCTCTTATTTCGTGTTGCTCTGCTACGGTCGAAGTCTCTGATTCAATGGTAATACCTGTTCTGGAATTCTGGTGGAATCTTTAAACAACTCTTTTTCACTGAGGGAAACAGTGAGAAATCCAACAAGATTAAAGCTTCTTAGACTTTGTTTCAACAGTAGTTGTATTCTTCAGGGAGTGAATATTAGCCTTTTTGAACGGACGAAGTTCTGGGGGTTTTTACCACTTTGCAAGTTCTTCAGTTGTTATGGCTTTTTTCTAGCTAGTTATGCTGACTAGTAACTAGAATTTTCTGTTAGAACACCATAAATCAGTTGTGCTGAAAAAGAATCCTTGCTACCTTATGTTTCTCACAAAAGCCTAAGGTATTAGGAAGTCCTTTTTAACAAGTCCTAAATAAGTGGAGTTGAAAATCAGTTAGTGATCTCTTTTGTCAAAATATACCCCAATGAAATAAATGAATTTTTAATTTCAAGAATACTTCTTAAATAGATTCTGTTGCTTCTTTTAGATTCATTTGAGGTGTAGTCCTTGTGTGGCTGAAAGCAGAACCTGCATTCATCAGAATTTTCTGGTGGACTTACTACACAAATAGGCTGCATAACTATTTTTCAAAAATATGTTATTAATGTCTTAGAAGGTTGAGGGAAATGAAATTTGCAAAAACCCTTACCTACTTTGTACCATGATGCTGTTGATAAGTGTTGCTATGAATATAATTGCAAACAATACTTATAATTTGAATAGAAGATTCTGTTTCTGCTGAAACATTACTAGCTCTTCTAGTTCTGTTGTCTGGGAAACCATTGCTTTGGTTTGTTTGAGTTTTTGATTCAATTTTATGAATACTTTTGAAAATCATTAGTACAAATAGTCAAATCTAGAAAATGAGATGAGCTAAGGTAATATTTTATCATGAGAATGAATGTATTTTTAATGACAAAGCATGATGTTAATATCTGTTCTGATATTACTTCAGATAATGCTAAGGATATGCTAAGACACTTTTTCTTGTTTAATTATTCTGTGCTGAAGTATACTTAGGTAAGATGTACAAATCCTAAGAGGCTATTAAGAATATATAATTTCTGTGCTGCATCTGTATCTTTCTCTCTTGATCTATAGATAATAAAGATTGTTTTAGGCAGCAAAGATCCTTCTATGCTGAAATACATGTATTGATTTTAGGAGGCTAGTCTGAGATCCTGTTATACTCCAGAGATGTGTCTCACATGATTTAGGTATTATTTGGTCAGGGAGTAATTTTTTTCTTAGAGAATTTCTTATCTTCTTAAAGAAAGACTTGTGTTCAAGAATGCACGCTATATGGCAACACTGTTTCCCTCTAGACAGATCAGTTACCACCACTTTTTGTTCATAAGCAACAAAGGAACAGCAAATTTGAAAAAGATTTTTTGTATACTGACAAAAGAGAGACCTTGTGCAATTATAATTGTACTAGGGAAGGATGGAGAAGCATTAAGAAAATGGTTTTCCAGATTTATGAACTGGACAGCTGTGTAGGACTTGGTGCCTTACATTTTAATTATAATTTTGATAAGGATAGACAACATGACACCTACTGAGACTAGAAAATTGTCATTTCAATGTGAGAATAGAAAAATACAATAGTTTTCCATCTCTCCTCCTGAAGCTGCAAGCAAATTCTAGAAAAACTGACTATGAAAGGAAAAAACATAGAAGTACTCTAAAGACCATGTAAGTCTGTCTTTAACCATTAGTGTTCTCCATAACTGATGAAGTTAATTTAGGCTCTTTTTCATGACACAAGGCAAAGAGGGCATGCATAGGTGTACTAAGCCCAAGTCTTCAGTTAAAACTTCACTCTCTGCATGCTGAGGCAAACAGAACAGCTTCACCGCTTTTTAGAGCTATTGAGGAAGATCAGTCCTTGAAATGAAAGAAACTCACTCCTGTGTGGAAATTGGATAGCGGTTGGGATGTAGCATTCAATTAATGCTTGTATTCTTGGATTTCATAATTTTCCTGTTTCAGAAATGCAATGAATTTTTATGTGAACATATCAGTGCTCTGTGTAGGATATTCAGGATTAGTTCTGTATTTTCTAAGAGCTCTCTTTTCCTAAAAAGACTCAGCTCTGAACTGTGCTCTGACCTTGAAAAATTTGGTCACCTTTGTGTGTAGAGATTGGAAATAAAGATCACTGTAAATATGCAACAATTCTTTTGTTAGCTAATACAAATGGCAATTGGCTCTGAGTACTAGGCTAAACAGTAATGCTCATCATCCAGATGTAGGTACTTCTATAAATATCTGATACCTAGACAAGTACTTTATTTCTTCAAGAGCAGTTCTTCATATGAACTTCAATACCCATCCTTTCTCCTACCTCCCTCTTCATATGAAGATCAATTTCAATCCTTTTTCCCATCTTCTTTCATTTCTCTAGGGAAACTATATGGCATGCATGCTATTATCATATATATTTTTCTGAGGTCCAATAAGTCTGTGAAGTGTTTTCTGTCCAGTTTTCCACACTCTAATGTAATTTATACACAATGCATCTTGAAATCTGTAATTACTGTTAAATTCCTAGCTCAGGATGTATTAAATAATCCTTAATATCAGATGAAGTCATTGGAAGTGACTGCTTCAATTACTATTTTCCTTTAGCTTTTCTGCATGTTTCCTATCAGAGCATATATTTAAGAGATTTGAAGGTAAACTTGAGTCCTACTAAGATTATTGTCTCCAACAGTATCTGCCCTGCCTTGGGCAGAGCATTGCCAGCAGTTCAAAGGTGGTGATCCTTCCTCTCTACATAGAAGAGGCTAAACCACATCCGGAGTGCTTTGTCCCGTCCTGTGTTCCCCAGCACAAGAATGTTATGGAATTTCTGGAGTGAGTCCACTGCAAGCCCATGAAGATGATTAAGGATTGGAGCATCTGATATGTGAGAGGCTGGGAGAGCTGTGATTGTGTGTCCTGGAGAAGAAAAGGATCAAGAGGATCTTACCAATTTGTATAAATACCTGAAGAAGATGGAGCCAGGTTCTTTTCAGTGGTGCTCAGGGACAGGATCAGAGGCAATGGGCACAACATGGAACACAAGAGAGTCCGTCAAAACATCAGGAAACACTTTAGTGTGAGAGTGACTGGGATAGGTTGCCCACAAAGGCAACCTTCCTTATAGATTTTCAAAAGCCTGAACAAGGTCTTGGACAACCTGCTCTATCTTCAGTAGGGGTGTTGGAATACATGATCTGCATAGGTCCCCTATAACCAGTAATTCTGTGATTCTTTGATTTACTGCAGGATCCCCATTTCATATAAATATTAGTTTTCTTAACACTACAATGTGCACTTAAAAAAAAAGTGTAAATCAAAAAAAAGGGATATTTCACACATCTAATATTAAGAATTTTTGTGTTCTAAACTCATTCTGAATTTTGTCCTATTGTTTCATTCTGTGCTAGGCTTCCATAAAAATCCATAGCATTGCTGACTGGAACATGACAAATAATGTCTTCATGCTGTTGGTATTAGGTGGTAAAACATATTACATAATATGTCTTTTCAGTTCCCCCAAACTGTCTGAATCTTTAACCTTTCAGAGTAGAAGTTTATGTCCAATTTCTTTGGAAGCAGCTTTCAGCTGCTTCTGAGAAGTGTGTGAAAAACTGCAGAAATCCCATTGACCTTCGTTTGAAGGACCGTTGATCTGAAGTGGAGGCAGTGTTATAAAGTGGAAAGAAAAGAACTAAATCTAAGTATATATGTTGTCTGAATTTAGATGGTTTTTTAAATGCACCTTCTAGTTGTGCCTGCTAGATTAGGTATGAATTCTTCTTGGTTTTTTTTGACAAAAAGTCAGAGCTGAAGGGTTTTACTGAATACATTGACCTCTTTGTTCTTCATGTACTTGGAGGTGACTTTGGTTCAGTGACTGTTGCCTTCAGTTCTTCACAGAACTGTATCTGTGGCTCAGATGGAGTTCACACCTCATATTTAAAAGGGTGGAATGTCTGTATCTTTGCCCTCTAAAACTCTATGTTAAATATATAAACATTCCCTGTATTTAACCCCTTAATATTTAACCCAATTTATAATTTTACCTCTAAAATTAAGAGACATGTATGGATGCAGTAAGGATTTTATTTTTAAAAGAGTTTCAAAGGA